TGACTGCCCTTTGCAAAGATGGTGGCTGCGGTTTCATTTAGGGCAGGGATTCCCTTAATGTAGGCTAAGGTAGCCTGGATTCCCTTAATGTAGGCTAAGGTAGAATGGATGCCTTTTTGGGGGGGGGATGTGGGACGAATAAAAATGGGGAAATATTCATCCCTTCATATTCATTGTTAGTACCCTACCAATCCACTGAGACCTGCCTCGGGTTGACCCACTTCTTCCAGCGTGACTCAAAAAGAAAGGAGTAGAGCAGCAATCTATGTGTTCCTGTATCTAATTGGTTTTTGGGCCAGGCCATGACGTGCTTTGGCACAGAAAAATGTATCTTGTCATTTCTGTCAGCAAAGAAATTTAATCATTTAAGAGAAACACAAAGGATGCTCAAAAATGAGTCATGGCACCTTGAAGACTAATAGATTTATTGCAGCATTAGCTTTGTGGATGTGAGCCCAGATAGAATGTTAGTGTTTAATTAGCAAACACATCCAGTAACAATGTGCACCATAGATGCACCATAAATGAAATCTGATTGTAGGCTGCTTATAGAGAATGGTACGACGCTCTGCTTGTGATGGATAAAGCTCTCTGTCAGAATAAAAAGCACATGCACATTGAACCTCTCAGAGGAATGGCTCAGACCTAAATCTATTTATAGTTAAGCCTTTTATATAAAGCACTTAGACTTAGCAGTGAATACATAGAGTTGAAAGAAGAAGGGCTTGAATGAACTTTCACTGAATAGAAAGGTCTAAACACAGTGAGCAGACTATGTCTTTTATACAAATTGGGCTCTGAAGGCTAAGCAAGAAGATAATTCTTTCTCTTTTCACTTTGCACTGGTAGTCAGGTGGAGAAAAATAGCACACACACTCTCTCTCTCTATATATATGGGCAAAAATATTAATTTTCAGAATTCTATTCAATATTTACACTGGTGTTATGCACAATAGCTTTAATCTTGACAGTTACCACAAGTCATTGTAAGATGATACGTATTCTGTCCCCTTTCCAAATCTAAGCTCGTTGCTGCGTTCCCCCCCACAGGGTGCATAAAACATATATGTGGTTGGAGAAGTTGGAAGCCATGACAGGCATTCCAGATTCTTCATGGAACATCCTGTCCCACAAAGGAAAGACTGAGGCCCTTTGGTCCCATCGTTTCTGGGATAATGCTGTCAACATCAGTGAAGGAGCCTTCTCCTCTGCAGAAACAGATGCTACTGCGTCATTTCCCCACAAGGAATAGCTAAACTCTTGTTGTTCTGCAGGTTATCACCCACAATTGCCTTCTCTAGCGAAGTTGTAAACAAAGTCCCGGTGGTGATTGCTGAGAGCACACAAGATGTGTTTGAAATACTGATAAAAGTCCTTGAGTAAGGGCAGTCATGGATCCCCAGCATGGTCTGCTTGAGGGAGGTTCCAGGTATCCTGATTTCATTCTGAATATGAATTCAGGTTCAATTTGATTTCCAGCAGTTCAGACCTGGTTCATCCCAATTCAGATCTAAAATACATTTTGGATGCATGTTTTCATTTGAATTGCCTTGGAGGTGGGGTGGAGGGGCCATAACCTTTTATTTCTTCACACATTGATAAAATTTATATGCTCATGGAACTGGGATACATGTTAGCCTTTTCAAACAGGCTTAATGCTGCTAAACGTCAGACAGATAGGTCCAGGAGACATGCTAGCTACTTCAAAAGTTCATTTTAATATAAAGTTTTCTAATATGTTTTACTATTCAGTGCAAGTATTCAATCTTTTCCTAGACTGAAATCAAAAGACCACATAAGCTAAAAATCTAGGTTCAAAATGGTGGGGCAGGGGTGGAGAGAAGGGGACAAACAAATGTGCCACTGTCAAAACTGAAACAAGACTGAGATCAACAATCAGCAAAGAGTAAGGACACTACTTTTGGAAAAGCAAAAGCAAAAAAGAGCAAAGTGTGCTGCTTATATATTGAAACAAGACTGAGATCAACAATATTCAGTGTAGGAGGCCCAAAAATTGGATTGAGGTCCAAAATGGGAAGAGGCAAAAGAGCTACAGCCTATGCTAGGGTTCTGATTCAGGGCAAATGGCATTAGTCAAATCTTTTGTAAACTATTTTGAAAAGTGACACACCTCTGGGTGGTTTACAAGTTAATTATGCAGGCTACACATTGCCCCCCAGCGAGCTGGGTACTCATTTTATCGACCTCGGAAGGATAGAAGGCTGAGTCAACTTTGAGCCGCTACCTGGGATTGAACCCCAGGTCGTGAGCACAGTTTTGGCTGCATTACAGCATACACACTCAAATAAACAAGAGATGTAAAGAATTCACTTATTTAAAAAAAATTCCTTTGGTTTATGAATGTGGATATTGTTCTTCTGTGTCCACGATTAAAAAAGTGAGGAAATGACCCGATATCACTGCACAACATTGTGTCCACATTGCCAGCAGGAATAAGGATGCCAAGCTTTACATAAATCCTGTTGAGTAACTACATTTGTATAATGTACTATGGTGGAAATGATGATCACAACTACTTCTGCAGGTGCACTGCACAATTGGTTGAAACAGAAACTGTCTCATGATGGTGCAATTGCACAGTCAGGAGGGAATGCCTACCACATTTGCACAGAAATGCTTCTCTAAGCACATTCACATTATGCCTAGACAAATAGGATTCTGGCCACTGACAAGATTGCCAAGGAATACAGACCAAATTGAGCTGATCCAATCCAGTAAGGAACCAATATGAACCAGGATCCAGTCAAACCAGTTGCATAGTAATAGTCTGTAAACTGCACTGGAGGATCATATTTGGTGCTTTTTGGCTGTTTGACTAGAGTAGTCAAGAAGAAACAGTTCATAGAATTACTAATTGTTTATATAGTACTGGTTAATGGGTGTGGTTCTCCAGTCTAAACTGAAAACTTGGTGTGAGGGGTAGGGCACTTTAATCATTTGTCCCCTGTTGCCTTCCCAAACTGACACAGGGTCCCTAAGCCTGCTATGTGTGTCGGGGAATACACTCCCTGAGAATGAATGGGACATTTTATCTGAAGACAATATTCAGTGTAGGAGGCCCAAAAATTGGATTGAGGTCCAAAATGGGAAGAGGCAAAAGAGCTACAGCCTATGCTAGGGTTCTGACTCAGGGCAAATGTTTTGTAAACTATTTTGAAAAGTGACACACCACTGCTCTAATAATGATCTACAGCTACAGCAAAATAGTGTAAAAGTATTTTATGGCACAGAAACAAAACAATTAAGAAAAAGGCATGTGCTGCGTAAATCTTACAAGGCAATAGATTATTCCCTGTTTCCCTCTTCCATATTTTAGAAAAGCCACTGGCTAAATGAGTGAAAATCTCTTTAAATAAAATGTCATTTTGAGACACATATAGCATTGCCAGCACTTTGACATATATTTGTGATCAAACTGCTCCATCTGCTGGATACAGATTAAAATTACCATGGGCTTTTCAAACTACAAAGAGAATTGATTCATTTTAACATTTTATAAACTGTTTTGCACATCTTATAGTGAATATTCAGGTAGGTAGGTAGGTGGGTAGACAGACAGACAGACAGACAGACAGACAGACAGACAGACAGACAGACAGATAGATAGATAGATAGATAGATAGATAGATAGATAGATAGATAGATAGATAGATAGATAGATAGATAGATAGATAGATAGATAAGTATAAAATATACTATATGGGTATATATGAATAATGAAATATCTCACTTAAAATTTCAGTCAGCTCTAATGAAAGTCATAGAAATGTTTCTCCATTTTTAACTGTACTTAATCCAAGAAAGCTGTAATAAAATATTTATCAAGGAAATCCTTTTGTAATGCAACTGTTCAAAGTCAGGTTTTATGGAAAAAAGTTTTTAAGATTGAGCAAAATAGTCTACAATGCATGAAGTAAAATGAAAAAAAGAGCTTCAAAATATATTCAACTTATTCAGAGAGCTATTGTGAACAAATATTTTTCATATTTTATCAAATACAAAAAATATAACTTTTTTGCTCATAAATAGAAGTAAAAATTGAATTGAACCCAAAACAATATTTGGAATAGGCCTTCTCTTGGGAGTTTTAATCAGCTATACATAAGGTTAACTAGCAAAGATTTCCTAAATACGGGAAATATACAAAAATCAAATTTGTCACATGGACACTTAGATTTCCTCCTAATTAATCCTAGAGGTAAATTAATATCTGAAATAAAACTGTGCTTACATTGTAGCACACAGCTGAAGACATGAACTGGCATTTGTACATTTTGAAAGAATTCTTATGCCCTTTCTACAATTATTTCTACTTTCAAGTTCTCCAAGCACTGAAGCATATATTTGCAAGAAGCAAACTATTGGCTCTGCAGAACTCTATGAGTTGTTCTCCTGCTTCATTTCTATCCTCTAGGCTAAATTTTCCAGCATTTGGTTTGTGCTTTTGTGTTCCAGTCACCTATGATTGTAAGTACGTCTTGTTTTGGTGTGTGATTTATTTCCTCTTGTATGCTTGCTTAAAAGCTTTCAATTTCATCTCCTCAGCATCTGTAGTTGGAACATAGACTTGAATGATGGTTATGTTTCTAGGTTTTCTACAGGGACTGATTGATATTATTTGGTCAGATTTTGCATTGTAGCCCTTAGCTGCCTGTGCTAAGTCTTAGAGCCACTCTGTTTCCTATGGGTTTGCCATTTCCCAAGTAAACACTCTGTAATTGTTTGACTGAAAATATCCTGTTCCGTTCCACTTTAGTTCACTGACCACCAAGTACTGCAATGTTTTTATGTTCAATGCCTTGTCTTACAGTTTTCAGTTTACCTTGATTCATCCTTCTCACTTCTGTGTTCTGATTGTATGTGTTATGAAGTGTCGGATTTTCCTTTCAATTCTGTCCACATCAACCACTATAAATGTTCTTTTGGCTTAATTCTAGTTGTGTCATTAACATCTGAAACCCAGCCTTCAGTGCGCACACACTTGCCGCCTCCTCTTGCTCTTCCCCTCCTCTCACTCTCTTTAATGGGTTCCCTCCTGTCTGTGGTTTCAATCATCTATGGTTGATCCTGGAATGGATCACCCACAGGTATGGGGGCACTACTGTGATTAGGGGGAATGAGGGTACCATCTTCTGAGATGTGGTTTGTGCATTCCAAGATGTCTCAGAAGTGGTCCATCTCTGCTTTGAAGGAAATATCTGCTCCTTGTACCGAGTCTCTCCTACTTTTGGGTATAGCTCTCCGGATTCTCATGTGTTATATATAAGACCATGACTTACCTTTTTGTGTTTGTAGTAGTAGAGGCAGCCATCATGTTTTAACACAAACCATCGCTTCCTCCACCCTCTCAGGATACCTGACTGGGTCCGTTTGTGCAGATATCCTCGACATGTGGGACGGGGCGTGTTGGGGCAACGACTGATATCAGAGCCAACCAGCAAGGTCAAGATATCTGGTCCTGAAATATATTACATTACGTTAGTTTATATACTAAATTAAAAGCAATGCTGTGAAGTGAAAAATACCAATCTTCTGTACAACGCAGTATAAAGAACAAAAAAGTGGCAATGAATGAGATCAACACCAACCTGTCAAAAAAGACTTGAAGAACAATCCTGAAAAAAAAATAAAATTCATTTTCTTTCTTTTTGGCAAAGCCTTATGTTTCTTTGTTGTTATGGCCAAATGCCACAAATGGACCAGAACCTGGAAAGTTACTTTTAACAAATAACACTTAGGGCGCGGTTACACTCATGTAATAAATCAGGAGGTAGTTGGAGGTATTATAAACTGAATTAGACTCAGGTGGTTTTTGTTCCAGTGTGCATAGCCTTATGGCCAGTGATGGCAGCATCAGCATCAAGGGCTGTATTTGCCCCAGTGTGCATAGCCTTATGGTCAGTGATGGCAGCATCAGTATCAAGGGCTGTATTTGAGCTCAAGCACCAAAAGAAGCTGGTCAAGAATGCCTCCCCTTGCTGCCTTCTGTAGCTGAGGGGGCAGGTTGTTTGCATTAGGAAATTAGGGCAGGTGACTGGGATTGGAGAAGCCTGAAAGTTACTGGGTCTTTCTCCTCCTCCTCACTGCTGTGTACATGCACACAAGAGTGGGTTATGTACTCCTGCCTTCCTGCCTGCATGACATGTCCTGAATTTCCACCTTCCCCTTTCCTTCTGCTTCACCTGCCTTCTGGAGCTGCTTTCTTTGTGGCTGTCTACTATATCTCCCCTTCCTGCACCCTGCCAGTCTCCAATTTTCATTCTTGCCTGGAGGGAAAAGGGAGGGGGGTAAAGGAAAGATAAAGCAATTTGTTTTTCCCCTCCATTGTTCTTGGCACTCATTTTGGTAGACTCCCAAGATACAAGGAATACTGATACAGGCATTCACACATGTAAACAATTCAAATCGAATCAGATTTAATAATGAGTTAAAATAAACAACACTCTCCTGGCTGTTTAAAATAACTTGCTTCCCGGGCAAAAAATAAAAATAAAAATATGCATCCGTCATGTACTATAAATGGTTATTCTAAAAATGATTTAAAACCTGCTTCACCTGCTTCAAAAGCAGATTTTCTTTCTTTCTTTCTTTCTTTCTTTCTTTCTTTCTTTCTTTCTTTCTTTCTTTCTTTCTTTCTTTCTTTCTTCTGCTTCAAAGGCAGATTTTATTTCTTTCTTTCAAATGTAACTGGACTCTTATCATGCAGATCATTGAAACTGCTAGTTTCTCATGTTGCTCAAAATAATATTCTTTTTCAAACATTATTCACGGGTACTGAAACAATTTCCCCCCAATTGTTGGACAGATGTGTTAAGCTGAATTGTGTTGATTGGGAATGGGTTGCTATAATCTCAGTGGCTGCCTCGGACAGCAGAACAAAAGTCTGACTTTGCTTCTAACCAGGCCTATATTTTCAGTCAAAGCTTCTTCATTATAATGATATGCTATAAAAGCGTGACTGGGCTTATTCAGCAGTTTGTTTATACAGTATCAGTTTTCACTGTAGGGCTGCTGATAATTATAATTAACTAAAATCTTAAAGAAGTACGACCGACTCCTGATTGTGTGAACTAAGCCAAGTCTTGGCTTAAATAAAACACAACCAGGAATCTTAGGTGGCCGTTGTAGTACAAATGTCTCTACAGGGTCAAGAGTGGGTTACCTAATACTGTATAAATATAAACCAGTATGCTGATGACACCCAACTCTGTTTCTCTTTTCCACCAAAATCTAAGGAAGCCATTTGAGTTTTAAACCAGAGACTGGAGTCAGTAATGGTCTCAATGAGAGTTAGCAAGCTGAGGCTTAATCCATGCAAGGCAGAGTGCTCCATATCAGTCTTTTAGAGCAGAACATGGAATGGGGATGCAACCTGTGCTGGAAGGGCTAACCCAGGTTTACAGCTTTTCTGTACCCCTGGATTCCTTCGTGCACCTGCTATATTTCTGGTGACAGGCAAATAACATTTTATTCAGGCAGCAGTTGAAAATTAAGCACTTCAATTAAATTTTTCCTAATATTCCTGGCTCTCTTTTTAATGGTAAATGACTGTTAGCATTTTCAATCAAATACCTAAAAGCATTTTAATTTTAATTTATTTTAATGAGTTTAATCTGATGTTAAGATTTGTAATTTTATTGTATTTTATTTTTTATTGTCTGTTCACAGTTTTCTGCCCCAACTGAGCCTCAATTTTGGGGGAAAATACAATCAATCACTCAGTCAGTCAGTCAGTCAATCAATCAATCAGTAAAATCTAGTTTTGAAAAGGAGGTATTGGCCCCTTTCCCTTTAGTGACAGGAAATATAGAGTAGCATCTGTCCTCCACAAAAAACATTTAAACTAGAATTTAATTAATGCAGTGATAGCATTAATGTAACACATTAAACATTTTCAAACATTTTCAAATTATATCAGTTTCTGTGCTTCCCAGTTTCTAATATTCAATTTGGACTAATTAATTTTCAAATCTAGCATTCCCAACAAACAACAAATACATTTCCAACCAGATCAGATAAACCAACAATCATAGTACCGACAGCTGGAAAATAACAAGAATGAATTGACAGCCAAAGAACCAAGAAGCATCATTAAATTTCCAGAAAAACAAGACAGTCTTTACTAGGGACCTAAAATTCAGCACATTTGGAGGCAAATCAAAAGGTCAGTGAAAGCCTTTTTCCCCATTTGCATATGTATGAAATTGTGACAGTTTAAAAAATCCAGTTTATGACTGAAACACATTTGGTGTTTATGTATTAGCTATGTTGTATTTACATGTTCAAACATGCAGAAAGCTACTTCCTTTTAATGCTTTGTTTTTAATATCTAACACATATTGCAATGTTTGTGGAAATCATTTATTTGTTCCTTTGCTGTTGGCAAAATTATTTTTTCCTGACCAGTAAGGAAATGAGGTGGAAAAGATAGGTAACAATACAAAGAAAGCTCTGCCTCTGATAGCCACTCATTTTACCTCAGAGTCCTGCCACCCCAAACTAAGTTAATAAAAAGGCCAGTTCACATGACAGTAAATGTTCTTTAAGATACCAAAGGTTAGAATGGGAACTTTGAATTGTATTTGAAAAGAACCCAGTAGCTAACAGGGATAAATATTTTAGGCCTGGCAATTAAATTTCTCTTCTTACTCAATCATTGCCCATGCTACTTGGGGCTTCTAAAAGCTAAAGTCCCAAGTACTTGGGAAGCTGAAGATTAAGAACCACCACTGAAGCCCAACAGTCAGAACATGTGCAGTTTCAAGCATTTTGTACTGCTGTAGAAACACTAGACATTAGAAAACTAATAGTTAACACTAGACACAGGCACTGTCTTTGGACAGATGTGGAAAACTAGGTGGAAGCAATGGTATTTGTTTGAATCCAGAATAACTACAGGGTGGATCAACCTCTTGGTGCAGTGGCAACACTGCAGAACATTTTGTATCTCATGTTGAATTTATTATATTAAAAAAAGAGTGAGAGATTTGAATTGAGGAAAGGAGAAATCAAAAGTGATGTCTTTACGTTAGCCTCTGTAACTTAAAAATATGTTCAGAGTTTTATTGACGCTCAGAAAATGCCCACATAAGTAGCATCTTAAAGTTCTTTTTGAAAGGATATCTGAAAGACAACAGTATTTGAAAATATGCTTTAAGCTATGCCTGTTAGGGTTGAGAGGAATATAGGACCTCAAGAATTTCATTCAGATATGGGAAAAGAGCAGAAATCTCACAGAATAGTTTTTAAAACTTCCTTTGAAAACAGAGACTGACAACAGATGACTTTTTTTTCTGACGTAAGAGTGTGAATTCCACCTGTATAACGAAATAACTTGGTGCATGCTAAAATATATTTGTCAGTGTCTTGTGAAAGTATTTTTTTTTTCTGTTTATAAGCCCTACCTTGACCACTGCCAAAACTATGTCACACAGAAGTTCAGAGCCCAGTAGGTTCATTAATGTGAATTTGAGGCTAACATTGATTCAAAATATATCCCAACAGATAATATTTCTAAATTAATATAAATGCTCCTTTGTTTCTTCTGTGGGAAATGGACTTCTTCATAAATGAACAAGTCAAATCCACCTACTAGATATTGGTTTCTTATATAGAGACAGGGCTAATGTCTTCATTGAGCCAGCTATCAGTTTTTCTCCTGAAAAAAAGACCAGATGTTGAAAGTGAATTGATGTCTTGAAGGCCACTTTTGGGACTCATTTGTCTTTAAGGCATGGGCCCCCAAAGCAATATTGCTAAATGTGCTCTTTCCACCTGGCATTTTGGCCCAGATTTAAGTGATACTGTGAGAAGATAACAACATTAGTTGCTGCCACACAGATAAAATGAGAGTCTTTTTTTTAATCCAGACTTTCATCTTTGATTGCTGTCATCTTGCTGCCCTATCAGTCTTTGTGTGTCCAAAATAATGTCTCCTTATTGTCAAAATCAGCTTTTCCAACACATCAGGCTGAGAACATTTGTAGATAACGTCCACTGTCTAATGATAAAAAGCTCAGACATGCAGCATCCTTAACCTGTCTAACCACATAAATTCCAATCAGATTTCTTTGAGTTCTTTTGAGTTTGCTCTTTGTTTCCTGAAATTAATGAAAGATCTCACTAAGAAAAACTGAGGAATTCCTGTTTTTTGTTTTGTACATGCTGTTGAAACAATGGCATTTCAAGAACTTCTTCATATGCCGCCCAGAGTGGTTGACCAGACCAGATGGACGGGATATAAATCAAATAAATAAATAAATAAATAAATAAATAAATAAATAAATATGCATCCAGAGTCACATCTTTTCACTGAACGAAAAGGATCTGGGGAAATTATCTTCCCACAGTATAAAAATTAAGATGGAATAGCCATGTCCCTCTGCTTGGATTATGGCCAGCTCTGCTGCACCAGAATTGGAGAATTTGTGGTCATCCAAATATTGATAAACCTGCCATCTGTGAGAGCAGAAACAGTCTTCAAAGAAGCAGTCTTCATGCTGGGCCAGTAGCAATGGCCGTGATGGTAATGGGAAGCCCAACAATATCTAAAGGGCTAGAGGTTCCCCAGCAATGCTGTATACTGTACTGCCTCCTAGAAGGCCCTCAAATAGCATAGGAGGAGAAATGTCAGTCATCCTATCTGTTACAAATACCAGAAGGGTAGCTATGCTAGTGTGTTGCAACAAAGATGACCAAGAGTCCTTCTGGTATCTTAAAGTATATGTACCATAAACCTCCATAGACTGGAATTCACATCTTTAGAGTCTTTAAAGTGCCATAGGTTTCTGGCTGCTCTTTTTGCTATGCAGTTTCTTGAAGAAAAGAGAAAGATGCTAAGCTGTGGGAAAGAGTTCCTAAAATCTACCTGGGTGGGACGAGGTAAAATATATATTGAACCAGGATTGAATGGGCTCACAATGAAGGAGTTACAAGCTTGCAGCACTGGGGAGAACAGAAACTTTTTGAAGAGCAGTGAACAGACACAGATAGAAGAGATTTAACAAGAGCTGGAAGCCAAGGGCTCCTGAAAGAGAGATGTACTCCACAAAAGATGTATATAATACTTAGGGGTTTTTATACTATAGCCAGAGGGGGGGAAAAACATTTGCATTAAACTTAAAGAGGCTGAATTCATTAGGCATGTGGGTTGTATCACAGCCACCATGGCTTCCTTGGATGCAGCTCACATTTGGTTGGATTTTTACCTCAGTCCCAACATCTACCTTTGATTCCTATTTATGATTGGCAGGAAAGCCGGAGTATCTAAAAGTTGCATTTCTTGTGTCCTCTCTTGAGTCTTCAGTGCATTTGCAATCTTTGCTTGTTCGGGATCCAATCACTTCATATGTTAGAAACCTTGCCAGATCAGCAGCACAGGCCAAAGAAAACACTAAACGATCTATGTATTTTAAGACTTGTTAATTTCAGCTGCTAGTTTAGCTATCATTATCAAACCCATCCATCAGGCAATATCTGGTTCACCGTTAGTCCATAACTTGTTTTATTGGTGTGCATGACACTAATTCAATCATTTGTGCTTCAGATCTTGTGTCCTTTGAATTATATAACAAAGTTTTGTTTTATTTTTGTTGCTGTCCTTGCTTATATTATTAAGTTGATCTTTCTCAATAGTTAAATATGAAAAATTCCCTTCCCTTCCCCTTCCTCTTCCTCTCTTCCCCCCCCTTCTTTCCTTCCCCAATTGAACACAATTTAGAAGACATAAACTCTTGAGGATATGGGTTGGACTACCTTTTCTTGCCAGATTTGCAGCCTCTGAATGTGGCATGCTGGTGACATCTGTGCCATTGACAGCCATCACAATGTCTCCAATCTGAAGGCCTGCTTCTTCAGCTGCGCTATCTACAAGAGAACACAAAGAAGGCTCTTATTCAGTGACATTTTGATAATATCACTGCAAAGGAGAGAACATCATTCACACATGCACAAATATAACCCAGTGTTCAGAGAAGCAAGTTTCCTGTCCAGACAATTTGGGCAAGATTTTCCTTTGCTTTGTAATATTTCACAAAGCTCATTCAGAGTTGAGGAAATAGTTATTTTCTTTTTTCGGGCATTTCCTTGAGAGTTACTGGCTGTCAGATTTTCTCCTTATCTGATTTAGGTTGCACGTATTTGCTTCTGATTTGCAACATACATGTTGCATTAATTGATGTATTCATTATTTTACATGAGGCACTTTGGACAGCGAAAAGTGGGAAAGGCAGTTATAAACATGGAACACAAACAAAACAAGGAGTAAAGAGATAAAGTGGAACAAAGAGGTGATTAAAAGCAAAGGCAAAGAGACTGCTATGCTCCGTAACAAAGAGGAGGAAAACCAGGATTCCCCTCTTTGCTGCCCTGGTTTTTCATGTGGCCAACACAATGAATGAAAAATCTCCCACATAATAGGATCAGCTCACAAGTCTACATCAAAGGCCTGAATCTTGCTTGCCTCTCCTCACATTGCTGTGCTATCATCATTATGTGAAGAAGAATAGAGGCTATGGATTTTTTCTTTTAAGAAAAGAAAGAAAAGCTGTTGCTGCTGAGATATAAAAATACATCTGATCCTTCTTTAGATTATTGATTGACAGCTGAAACTGGTGTGTACTTTTATAGGAAACCTTTTGTAATGTCAGGCCAGAAATAGAAAAGAATTTATATAAGCATGTTCAGTTTTGGAGCATTAATGCACGGTCATTTGAATCCTACTGGTATGTACCCCAGAATCATGCCGTGTCTTCTTTTTACTCAAAAGTATCTTTTTAGGCAGCGGGGATGGGTAGAATGGAAGGATATATGAGTAACATGGCAGTGTAGGTTTCTGCAATTTTCACTGAAAATCTTATATTATGACAAGTCTAGTATTCAGGAAATGGAGTAATACATAAAAAAGAGAAGCGACATGAGATTTTGGAAAGTCTTCATATGGGCAACAATACAACTCTTATGTGCTTGAAAACTGCATCTGTGAGACTTATGGAAAATTCTGAAAGGAATTTTTGTGATAATCTCCTGCAGTTTGGTGAGAAGAAGCCGTCTTGGTGGAGCAGGTTCTAAGGATTATTCACTTGAAAATGAAAGTAAATGGCCAAAGGAACTGCATGGTAATTATTGTGTCGATATTGGCATTTAGCTATGGTATGTGGCAGTCTTTGGCATGAAAAAAGTGACCTCATCCACTTGTATTTATACTTAGAATGAACCATCCTTCCGCTTTATGAGCTGCCCCTTATCTTTCTGGCACAGGGCTAGGGCATGTAACCTATTTGGTTCAATTTGCTGAGATGCATAATGCCCCTTTGTTTAGCCTTTGTGACTGGAGGAGACAACCCTGTGATGTATTAGGTGGCTTGTGGCACTGAAAGGGAGGGTAGAGAAATCCTCTCCTTTGCTTTCACCTTCTTTTATTTTTAAGATTTCCCCGACTGATGCAGTGAAATTCTAAAATCATGCCAGGTTGATGCATTGCCAGTTTGATATGCCACTTACATTTTGAAGAAACAAAAAAGGGAAAGCCATTCCAGCCACTTGAATGAGGTCTGAGAGAAAAGGCAGGGAAGAGGGTTATGTTGGCTTCTTTGGCTGTGCTCCACAAGGCAGTGCAGCCCCAACAGAGTCCCAGCTGAGAAGAAAGACTGGGAAAGGGGAGTTACTTCCCTTCTGTCTCCTCAGTCTTCACCCCAGTGTTCTCCCCTTGTGCTGCAGCTGCCTTCAGCTGCTCTTGCGGCTGTCCCTGGCTAATCTTACTTGTGAGTAAACCTTGCTTTGTATGTACATATCTCTAGCACATGAGAAAAGCACCTGCCACACAATCTCCAGTGTGAACAGAAGGATTGCTCAACTGAGAGTTAAAATAGATCACATTTAAAATAAGACTCTTTTAAACACAGAAGGGACTGTGCCTAATCTCCCGGTGTGGACAGACCCTGTGTTATGGTTCTGAGCTTCTCTGCATTTTCGCTTTTTAGGATTGGTCTCAATTCCTGCTACTGCTATAGCAAAACAGCCCACAACTCTGAAAGCAGACTCCAATGGATGTGCTTGGCTTTAGAAGACTCGGTGTGGTGTAGTGGACAGATTGTCAGGCTAGCACTCAGGAAAGCTGGATTCAAATCCCCATTCAAGCATAGAAAGTCACTTGGGAGGTGACGGCAATAGTAAACTACTCCTTGAACAAATCACCTATCTTAAAACCCCTATTAGGGCTGCCATAATTCATAATGACAATACATAAGAGTAACAAATGGTTGAAAATCGAGAAACTTCAGCTCTGATCAGCCTCAGCCATCATAGCTATGGATTGGAGATAATGGAAATTATAGTTCAGCAACATCTAACACTTCACCTTTGAGATCCACAATGATTTGTACACATTATTCCTTCTTTGCATACTCAGATTGCCAAGGAAGCTCAAGCAGTGGCTTGCAATCTTGATTATGAGCAAGGAGCTCATTTTATCAATATGTTAATCAATGGGGAGCAATCGACAGAGGGAGACAGGTGGACCCAAACATTTTGTCCCCTTTGGCTTTTCTAGGTAGCCAGTTATTGACATGCAGATCACTACTCTTAGGCTTTAATTTTTACATCTTCTCCAAAGTCAGAGTATCTGTTGTTCTAGAGAACCATTACAGTGTCTCCTTCATAATAATTAGAAGCATACTGCTATTGATTAATTTATTAGGAGAATTTATACCTAAGCGTAGGATCTTTTCCACTTGAACTCTTCTTTCCTCCTGTCTTATGCTGCAACCATGAATGTCCAATTATAAGCTTCTAAAGTAGCCACACCCGTTCAAGAGCAACAAGCTCAGCACTATCCCACTGCACTCTGCTAGCATAACTGTCAAACTTTCTTATTTTATGTTCATAATGTTAGCCCTGTCTTTCTGGGAGCAGGTGAAATGTGGGCACTGATCTTTTTTTTCACAGGAGACAGAGGAATGGGAGCAGGGGCACTGACAACATTCTAATTGCCAAGTAGCTTTGTTTTTAATATATTGCTAACCTTTTTTGCCATACTCATCACCTCGCTCTCCCTAGGAAACCATTGTGAAAAGCTAAAAGGTGGGATGGGAGTGGAATTGCCTTTGGCAGTGTCTGACCCTTTTTGTTTGATTACATGTGAGTCATTCAAAGAAGCTTTTTGGCCAGTTAAGCAAGCGGCAGAGGAATGCGAATCTAGTTCTGTTATCATCTTTGGCACAATGGGGTATATGTCAGTGGCAGGAATAACACCAGAACCTTCAATAAGACAGAGAAAATATACTTCATGTTCTACTAATGCCAATGAAAAGAACACAGGAGATTTGTTGAGCTGCCCATTCTTGCTTTGCCCCAAGGCAGTTTGTCATCATTAATTCAGTGATGCCACAGGCTTCTTTTGAACACTTTGCCATGCAAGTCACTTTGGATTTGTTTCATTTTAAACAAATCTTTGGGATTATCACTTACTGGTGTCCACTTCCGTCACAAGGATTGGCTTTGAGAACTGGATTCGGAATCCCCAGGGGTAGTCTCCGGTTCCTTTCGCAATTCGTACAGTTCGTTCACGGACTGGAAAAAGAAAAGGAAAATGCCTGAAAAAAATCATCTAGAGATGCTGTTTCCAGAAGTCAATTGTGGGTCTTTCTTATTAAACAGATTATCAATTCTAAATATTAAAGAGACATCTACAAGCTACTTGCAGAGTTCACTAATTCTGATGCTTTTAGAAGAGAGGTATAGAATACATTCCAGAAATTTTAGGAAGGGAATTAGGCACTGTGAAACACTATTATATACTTGTTTTTACTTACAAATGTAAACAACAATTACACACAATGAATTTTTGAAAATGTGTTCAAACTTTTCATCCATAAGTACACATACCACTTCTCTTAACATAATTTCTTTACATACTTATCTGAGAATAACATCTTCTGAATACAGTAGGGCTAATTTCTGAGTAAATATATACACAAGGGTCAAGATAATTACTTATAAAGAATGACTTGAAAAAGCATTTCTAATAATGACCACACCGAGATAACCATTGCCCCAGTGAATATTTTTCACTGGAGTCTTTGTAAGCCTGCTCTTCAATTCAAATTGTGTTATTGGTTCCTCTGGTTTGGATCCATATCACACTCAGAGCAGTCCCTACAGAAACCGGTGAAATGAGGTAGTCATGAATAGCCAATGTGCCATTACATTCCATTGTAGCAGAACTGAGACAACTGTGTTAATCTATTTCAGTTGAAAGAAAAGCAAAAATATTTTGTAAATTTTTAAGATCAACACATTTATTTCAGTGTGAGCTTTCTGGCACAGTTTTTTTTTGTCAAAGTTCCATGGGCAGAATCCTGTTGGAATTATGGAGTGTAAAGAGGTAAATAACACACAGAATCTTGCCAGCCTTCTGTGACGCATGTGGACATTCCCAGCTCACGCACATGGTCCTGAACTTGGTTGCACACTCAGCTACATGACGCATGCCTGGGAAAATGTGATAATGGTTCCTGTGATTGCACTTGTGTGTATTGCATTTTGCAATAGAATTATGGCTGGCAGGTCTACCTAAAAAAATACTAATCAGTCAAGGTACAGTGGTGCCTCGCTTAGCGATTGCTTCATTTAACAACGTAATCGCTTAGCGATGGCTTTTTCGGAGCGATCTTGCACTCCATTTAACAATGTTTCCTATGGGTGATTTTCGCATAGCGATGTTTGGGACCCTGCTTCACATAACAATAACAGTTTGGGTCCCCCTGTTTCGCTTAACGATGGTTTTGACAGCCTCGTGTTAGCTGTTTTTTAAATGTTTAAGAATTTTTAAAAATGTTTAGAATGCTTGAAATCATAAGTGCACTTAATAAACCCTTTCACTTTGTTCTGACTCTTTTTAAATTTGTTGCAATTCCCCCCCATTGAAATGCATTGAATAGGTTTCAATGCATTTCAATTGGGGAACCGCGTTTCGCTTAGCGATTTTTCTGATGGCAATTTTCACTTAAGGACGGCAGTCCGTTCCCATTGGAATGGATTATCCGGTTTTCAATGCATTTCTATGGGAAAACGCATTTCGCTTAGTGATGTTTTCCCATAGCGATGTGTGTTTTTTTAGCACCAGTTAAAATCGTTAAGCGAGGTACCACTGTATAGCTGACTATGTACGTCACACTGGATGTTTCCCTATTGAAGATTGAGTGTGTTGTGAAATGATTATTCCAGCTGAAGTTGATAGCCTCCCTGTAATTTGATGCTATTTCTATTGCCCACAGTTGTTAACCATGTAACTACTTTACGCCCACACCCACTTCTTTTTCTTAAAGACTATAGCTCCCCAAATTTCTCAGCCAGTGTAGCCATTTTCCATGTTTTGAATACACTTATATAAAAGTACTTACCAGCTACTGGCCTAGGCCTTTTGCTAAGACATCTGGGGCTATTGTTTGGGCTGGCATCATCCCCTCTAAAGACCCAAGAAGTCGAGTGGAAGATCTCTGTGTAGAAATTTCTCTCTTCATTGTCACCATGTAGGCCTAGATCAAAAGAGCGGCCATCTTCTGAATTGACTGCACAGAGCAAAGAAAAACAATAATACAAATTTGTGTCTATCAGATATTAGAAAGAAACAATGGCAAATGTGTAAGAGTGAAGAGGAACAGGAAAAGACTGAGGATAGAAATGGAAACAAAGTTTAAGGGGGGGAAAGGGGAAAAATGACTATTTAAATATGCTAATGATATTTGTGACTTTGTGTACTTTTGTGAAACAAAAAACAAATAGAGAACCAATATTAGAAAATGATGCATTTCCTTTTCTCTTAAACAGGAACTTATGTTCAGGGATGTGTATGCCAATCACCATGATAATAAGAATGGGAGCTCTGATGCCTGCTGCTTAGATACCAAAGATTTTCATTTATATCCGTGGAGGAATGCACTTCTAAGTGTATTGTATTTTATTTTATATTTGGCTTTATTCTTAAGCTCTCTTTTCTTGTCACGCAGTCATGAATTTTCACTTATTACTTTGAATTTTACTGGATACTACTGCCCACCAACAGCAAGATAAAAATGTTTTTGAATTAATAAGGGAATGGATACCTTGTGCAGTTTTAACCCCACACTGATTAAAATAATTTGCTAATAGTCAAACTGGGAATCTCCCTAATGGTAGGGCCAGTCCTATCATTAGGCAGAGTGAGTCAGCTCCCTTGGGCAGCACATCTGGGTTTCCCTGAAAAGGCAATGAGTTGTATGCTGTTCCATTTGCTGTTACTTTATTTTTTACAGAAAGGGACGTGGTGGCGCTGCGGGCTAAACCGCAGAAGCCTGTGCTGCAGGGTCAGAAGACCAAGCAGTCATAAGATTGAATCCACGTGACGGAGTGAGCGCCCGTCGCTTGTCCCAGCTCCTGCCAACCGCGCGGTTCGAAAGCATGCAAATGGGAGTAGATAAATAGGGCCCACTTCGGTGGGAAGGTAACAGCGTTCCGTGTCTAAGTCGCACTGGCCATGTGACCACGGATGATTGTCTTCGTACAAAACGCTGGCTCTATGGCTTGGAAACGGGGATGAGCACCGCCCCCTAGAGTCAAACACGACTGGACAAAAACTGTCAAGGGGAACCTTTACCTTTACCTATTTTTTACAACTGGGTTGAGATACTTGTGAGATTCTCTGCCTCATGTGCCAAAATAATTTGACTGGCTCTTAATGCTATACAACCTTGATTTGGGTGAGTCAAGGCACTAAGGTCAGTGTGGCTTAGGTGAGCAGCATTTACACGTGAAGCCTGTGAATGGTATCAGTTACAGGATCACATTATGATGCTGAGTTCCATGTTTATACCTCCACCTCATCAGTCATGAGATTCAGTAGGTAACTCTCGCTGCTATCAGCCTAACCGGTGCCACATAACTGTTTCATAAAATGGGGATTGAGGCAAGAATAGTGTTTGCCCTCCTGAGCTCCCTGGGAGAAGAACTTGACAAAAACATCATAAATAATACAAGTATGTTTTGCAGATGCAAAAGTCCAAGAGTGTGAAAAGCTCATGTGTGAGGCACTCACCATAATTTTTCTACACCATCTGGAGGCTGACAGCTGAAAACTTGTTCATCTCTTCTCAGTTAAATCTATGGTTCAGTAGGTCACTTAATCCCAAATCTATCCTAGTGGCATTTTCATACATTACACTAAAAGCCCATTTTCTCCTCATCTACAAATATGAAAATCCAATGCAAGGTCCAAACTTGAGGAGTAATTGGGAAAGATTGCTCTCTTTCATTCCTATTCCTAAGGGGGAACCTTTTCTTCTTTCCTAGTATCATAATGCTCTCCATCTCTTTGGGGCCCCATCTTCATACCTGCCAGGAGGAAGAGTTTAAGACAAGGAGAAAGCGCTGCTCTGACTCCTTATTCCTTGCTCGCATGACTACGTGAACATGACTGACTGGAAGTAGGAAGCCAAGAAGAAACACTTTTATAATCCCAAACTATTCTAACTCACCAGTAGGATGTGTATGACCCTGGGACCACTTATGTCTCCCAAGGATAACTTTGTGTCCCCAAGGCTTGCTGGATCCACATCCCTTCAATTCCCCACCCCCCAGCATCAAAAGATGAATTGCCATCCCTGGAAGCCTACAAGAATATGATGCACCCTTTAAATACACCACAGGTTGTGTGCATTACTCATACTCATACCCCAAAACACATATTTTTTTCAAAACTGAAAATTGACTTCTGTTTAGTTCTGATTTTTTTCTTTTTCGTTGGGGTTTTTTGTTTGTTTGTTTGTTTGTTTTGTGGTTGATGTAGCCCCCAGAAGATTCTGTGGGCAGAAAAATTTCCCATGGACCCACTGAAATTGTCTACTCTTTTTGTAAACTCAAGCCTTCGTGATGTGTGGCCCAGCAACTAAAACACAGATTGCCAGTCATGCTTGGCACTTCCCACTCTCCCTATGATGACCCAGACAACTGGTAAAATCAGATGAAGCATCAAGCCCTTGATGTGTCACTGTGCGTGAATGGTGGAATGCATTCAACCCGGCAGATTAGAAGTTGTACAACCAATATTCTATATCTGCATAAAATCATAAACATTAATTGGCAGATACAGTTTCACATTTGTTCCACCGCAGTGACTGTCCAGTGATTTTGTAAGCAATATGTCTGTTCAGTATTTGATCTGAAGCAAACATTCAGGTGCATTTCATATTGCTAAGGAAAGTGGATGAGTTTTTGGAGATTTAGTATGATGAGCCAACAGTGGGTGATGGTTGTTAATGTCAGGAATAGAAACTGGCAAGCAGCAGAGGTGTGTGGGAAGGGGTGGGGAGAAAGAATCTAAAATAAGAATCACTCAAATGATGCTTCAGAGGTTTGAACATTTATATTAATCATGACTGTTCCGCACAGGTAAAAAACCCAATGTATCAGAATGTCAAATATTCATAATCCCTCCATATTTACCAGTGTCCCATTGTAACCTACTACCGTTCATACCAGGAGACCATTTTTGGGTCACACATCATCTTAAAAATGCATTCCTCCCCCCTCCTCCACTTTTGAACACAGGACTATCTTCTGTCATATTGTTCGATACATTTCTACAACATCTGATGGCGTCCCCTTATTTAGGACAGCATTACAGATAGACAGACTGTGTGTGTGCACGCGCGCGTGCTTGCACACTTGCACACATATGTGTGTGTGCTATAAAAGGTAAACATTTCTCTGTGACTCTTAAAATCCCCATTTCCCCCTTGTTAACTCCATTCTAACAGGTATCCTCACTTTAGCTTATTTGGATCATGAAACAGAAAACGACAAATACAGACTTTCACACAAAAGCTCACACAAACTTACCTCGGTGTTCTCCTTTTGACCTCTGGAGGTCCATGTGTAAGACATCTATCTTTGTCAAGAGTCCAAAGCCTTTAAAGCTTAGTGATTTATTGTTTATGGTTCCACTGTGTAAAGACAGAGAGGGAGTTTCCCACGAGCAGATTTGATCATATGGATGAGTGATTCACAGTTAATTCAGTCACTCAGACAGTGCTCATCAACATAATGTTACATAAGGCACCACAACATTCATGATATGCCGCTTCAAAGTTAGCAGCAAGTCATTACGCATGTCACAGCTCTGTGTGCAAGAAGGCACTTCATGTGTTAACTAATAAATGCAAAGAGTCATGCAATGTGTCAAGGCTAGTCCTTAACAGAGGGAGGGAGGGAGCGAAAAACACTACAAAGTGTTGCCAAGTCTACGTTGCAAATGGATCTGCTCAAGCAGAGCAAGACTTGGAACCTATTGATCGAACTGTGGAGTCATTCTACAGGTCAACTACCTGGAAACTCTTATTTTGAAATGCAGAATCCTCATTCCCATCTGTTTTGTGCCAGTCCTCATCTAATGGTTTATAGTTATGGCCCCAATATCATTGTCTTGCCCTTGTTTGCAGACAATTTCCAGGTCTCACGTTTCATTTTGTAAGAAGAAGAAAGCATCCTAGTTTGGCCACAGCCCAAAGGCCATCTGGTTCAATTAATCCAATCATTTATGGTCAACCACATTCAAGCCTTGGCCAGCCTGAGGATGTACACTACATAGTTATACAATTTGAGTCCACTTTAAATGCTATGACTCCATCGTTTGGAGTTACATCATTGCAGTTAAAGTGGAATCAAACTGCTATAACTGTGCAATTAAGATGCACATTTAAGAAGAGAACAGAGTGGGGAAACTCATGAAGTGTGCTATCCAGCAATAGCTGAAGATCGTGCAAATTAGTGCACTGAACTATACACTCCATTATTTGAGAGAGGCAATCAAACATAGTTTAAGCCAGTGATGTAATCAGTTTGAATAGGGAAGGGTAATGTTTGACCCCGGGCTACATATGGCCCTCAGGCTATTTTAGCATCTCCCCACATAATTGGAGGAAAAGAATTCAGAGTGAACACTAACATTTGCTATAAATAGCTGGCAGTGGCTTGCTGTCAGATTTTGATGGTGATGGTGATTCCAGAGCTGCTAACCCTTTCCATCTCTACATTACAGCATTACAGTATCAGAATGGTACAAGGGAGAATCAGATTCTAGTCCTACCTCAGGCATGAAACTTACCAAGCTATCTTGATTCCCACTCAGTTATTTTGATGAAAATCCCTGAAGCACCTTTTATTGCTTTGTGAATAAAAGCAAGTTAACTCAACATTGGCTACCTTTAGCAAGACTCAGAATTGGCTCCTTCAGACTGCCAGTCCTCTCTGCCTAATGGCAGAGCCATCCCTTCTTGTCCGATTTCAGATCTAATTGTCCTAGAAGCAAAGCTACTCCAGGTGCTAAAGGTCTGCAGAGATATTCTAGGCTGAGCCAAAACTGTACCTTGCCCGCCCAGGCTGGAATAATGAGGTGGGACACAGTAACATAGGGTAAACTGGGCCACAACTTTAATAACTTATTTTAACTTGAATTTCCCCTTTCACAAAGGGCCTCCTGTAGTGCAAAATGGTCTGTAACCAGAGGCTACTTTGACCTTCTGGTCCAGATCTCGCC